AAGGAGAGAGAAAGTGTGTGTATAAGTACTCTCATCTTGTGTCGGATTATGCCCACTTTTACAGTCCGAATGTCAGACCAGACCCGTCACTCTCTCACCCACCCAGAGAAACTTAAAAGGCCATCAATCAAGGGATGAGCAAGATTCGGATTAAGTTTTTTTTCGGGGAAAATTGTAAGAATTTGAAAATATTGGAAAAAATTTTATTACAGGATTTCGCACGAGGAAATAATAAGTGCAAATTTTAAACTGTAAATTAATAAATTGTAACACATTTAATTTAATCATAACAAAATATTTTTCAAATTTCCAATTTTAGTTTTCATTTTTTGCAAATTTTTAATCTTCCATAAATGCATTACCCGCGTGTCATATATTCGAGAAAAATATACAAAATATTTATATTTCTTGTTCCCCATTTCCACAATTTTGTGAACTTCCGCTTACATTTCTGGGAAAAATAAAATCAATTGGATTATTTTTAAATTAAAGCTATCTATCTCATTTTCTTGGGACATCTTTTATTTTCAATTTAAATGAAGCTCAACATAAAATACATAAGTTTTCAAGCTTTGAAACATGTATGATATACAAAAAGTAATTTTATTGTACTTAAATATTTCCATAATTCGTTTTCTTCATGAAATCAATGACCCTACTTTTATTTTTGGATAAAATAAAATAAAAAATACGAATTTGTTATCGAAACTGTCTCATTTTTTGTGTCATGTTTTACTTTTCAAAAATTCATTACAGGCGCAACAAGAAATTTCAAATTTTCAAATTTATTATATATAAAACGTACTCTGTTTTATTTCCACTTGCACGTTTGGGTAAAATCAATATGATTTTTTTATCAAAACTATCTCACTTTTTATGGCATGTTTTACTTTTCAATTTAAACGAAACCGAAGTACGGGTGCGTTTGAGGAGATGATTATGATGATGATGCCGAGGATTTGAGGGGGAGAGGGACGGGACGGAGGAAACGGAAGGAAGTGGCCGCGATAAGAAGCTGTCTCCGGTTTACAGCTTTTGGTTTTGTAAATAGTCTGGTGGTGGTCGCGATAAGGGGCTGATTTCCATATCGGGATGGAATTGACTACCAAATCGAAATCCTCACCACTACCATTCAATAAGTCGGTTTGTGTGTGTGGTGCGAATGACGCAAATCTGATTGTAAATTTACATTTTCAAACTACACCGTGTCCTGTGAGTTATATCAAAAAATCGAGCCAAAAATTTGGAAGCAAATGACACTTATCATTCCGCTGATTGAAGAAAAATATTGGAGACAAAGTTTAATTTCTTAGCAAATTTTCTGTCCACGAGGCGAAAACCAAGGCGCTCGTGGGTACTTTGACCCCCAATATTTTTCTTCAAAGGGGCCTTTCAATGGAAAAATAAGTGTCATCTGACTCCTAATTTTTGGCTTCATTTTTTAATATAACTCGCCATCGGTGTAGCTTGAAAAAAGGTTCCATTGTGAGTACCTTAGTACAAACTGGTATTACATAAATCTTTACTGACGTGAGTACGTATTTATGTATATATATGTATTTATGACTCTACCGGCACGGTAATAACCGTTTTGTGGTAATGAAAATATACCACTCACTCATTCTCAAAAAAACTACTACAAATCTGGTAGGAAATTATTACCAAATCAATACCAGTACAGAGTACATGTGTACTTTTCCCTTTTTATGGGTGGATCAGTTTAAATGGGGAAAGTACATAACTTTGCTTAGAGATCGGATTTTTGGGAAATATATTTTTTAATGAAGCTTTCTTCTTGATTGTAATGCGTAATTATGAAATTTTCCACAGGAAAATATAGATAAACGGATAATGTCAAAGTTTCTCAGCTAAATATTTTGTAATTACTGAATCAATAAGCTAGTAGAACTGTTAAATTAGGTGAAGGTATCTATTTATGTACATAAATATGTTGTTAAATTTTTACTTAAAGTTAAGAAATTTAATTGCCCTATTTATTTTTCTGATTTTACACCAATTTAAAACTTGTGAAATTTATAAAAATACATTTCACCACAATTTTCCTACCGATTTACGAATTAGGACGTCGTGGAAGATGAAAGGGATTTGTATCAGTGTCCAGGTGAATTTGAAGCTCTCGGTCAAAACAATGCTTATCTGGGACGAGATCTTTTCTCGGTTTGGGTTGTGCCAAACGATCCGAGGTTTTTATCTGGTGCCGGATCCTGCCGGGTATCCGGGGACGTTTCGGTCGTAACTTTGGCTGCGTGTTGAAAGCCGATTTTGGGCGTGGCGATACATCGACATCACCACTTCCTTCCACCTCGCCGGGTATGCGGTCACTCAAAATCGGCTGAGAAATCTGGGGGCGCAAAACATGTTCAAACTGAAGTGGTCAAAAAATAATCTGGGTTTAATTTCTGAGTTTTTACCTCGTTTTTCTTGATTACCCTGCGTTGCTGGAAAATGTTGAGGATTTGTTTCTCCTGAGTTACGTTGGGGGCAAAGGTCACATTCTTTCGGATGGGGGGTCGTCTCGTCGCCTCCATTTTGACGGGTCGACTATAGAAGAAAGCAAAATAATAGGGTATTTTGAGTTCCGTTCTAATTCCCAGGGTTTGGATTTCCGGGGCTGTTACACCCCCAAAAAGACCAAAATCTACGTGGAGAAGGCAGCAGTCGTGCGAAGATACAGATTTTGTTAAGAAATAAACTTTCTATCATTGCCAGAAATTCTTTATTTTCAGAAAATCGTGAAAACAATGAATTTTGACAGCGATAAAAAGTTAGTAGTTTCTTCACAATACGTTTAATTTCGTATGATTGCTGTATTCTCAGTGTTTCGTTTCTAGCTGGTTTGTTGCACATCTTGCAATGCCAAGGAAAAAAATACGAGGTTCAAATACGCCCCATCTAACCACGCGCCGTATGAATTATAACCGCGGGAAGGAGTTTCTTGCGCCTTGCATTTCTTGCAGGTCAGAATAGGAACCCTAATTTTTTCCACCCGAAACACTACATTTTTCACTTAATTTTTCGTCTTTAAGTCCTGGAGATGCAGTGGCCGTGGAAGCGACAGAGGACAGCGTCCCCACGGTTTTTCGATGTCCGCATCATATATAAACCCGGCCCTCCCACATCCTTCCTACAATGGCAATGTTCCCAGATGTCCCCACGGCTTCCGCGGCCCCTGATTGCACGAGGTTATGCATTGGTGATCGTAGCGTGGAAACAAAGGGACAATCTCCGCACAGTTATTCGATGTTATACAAACCCATCCCTCCCCTATCCTCCAATGTTAATGTCCCCACAGCTTCAGCGGCCCCTGCGAAATTCCAAACCATGGGAAGAACCGAGCTCAAAATACGGTATTTTAACCACCCTTGATCACTTCCGTTTCTCCACTCTTTCTCGAACTGTTCCCTCACCAAAGCTGTCGCGATTTCGTCCGCGGCCAGAGCGAGGCGCTGAATCCGTTTGAAATTCTTTTTCCTCTCGGCGCGGTCATAGTTGAGGTCAAGATTCGAGTACTCACTGCTGCTGGAGGAGCGAGGTGGCCGATTTTTGGCCACGTAGGAGGAAAACACGCGGATTTGGGTGTCCTGAAAGTTAGAGTGGGCTTAAAATTAGCATAAAATGAACTTTATTTTGGACTGGTCCAAGATTTTGAAAATGATCATAATTTTAAATTAAATAAAAAAGTGTTTCGTTTCTTGCTGGTGGTTTGCTAGATAAATTTCTTGCAGTGCAGAGTGAAAAAACTGCAAGAAACTGGGAGAAAGTGGGAGAAATAAGCGCGAAGCAGTAATTAAAAAGGATAAAAATTGATATCAGTTCATAGATATGATGGGGTACAATAAAAATTGTGCAAATTTAGAATAGTGGCCGCGGAAGCGTGGGTGCGGAAGGGGGACAATGTCCCCACAGTTATTCGATGTCCGCATCATCCCCATATTATAAACCTCTCTCTCCCTTATCCTACAATGACAATGTCCCCACAGCTTCCGCGGCCACTGACTTAGAATGACGCCGGTGCGGGTACCGTGAGAGGAAATGAGATCTTCCACGGGATCATGGGGTCAGAAAAGGACTCGGTTGGCAAGGTCCACACACAAGTTTGCATAGATGGCGATTTCCGGTCGAGTTTGTCCTCACTTTTTATTTTGGGTGTTACGTCGGGTAGTCCCGATTCTTTGCCCGGTTTGACCTTTGACCTCGTCCGTCGACTGAAGCTGAGATAGGACCCCATAATAAATTGGGGGGTATTTTTATGCCAGGCGGAAAAAAACTAGGGGGAAATTTTGAGAGTAAGTTATTTATCAGTACAATTTCTGAAAAAAAACACTTTTTCCAATGTTTCCAATCTGACCATTTATAAACAAGTGGTCAACTTGGAAACGTTCGAAAAAGTGATTTTTTAGGTTGATTGAGAAGCGACAATAAATGCACGAGATGCCAAAGTCCATAAAGTGACATTTTTTTAAATTTTTACTTTGTAAATTCTACTTTTTGATTGTATTTACTCTGATTATTTTTCGCACTCTTTTTACGAAATAACTAGTTTTTGCAAATTTGCATATATATTGAAGACCAAAATGGATTAAAATTTTGATTCGTAATTCGACTATAAAATAAAATTGGTAAAATTATTTCTCCAATTTTTACAATCCCGACAATCTTGCGAATAATTGGGAGGCAAAGCCAAATTTTTAAAATCAATTATCAATCACGTTTAAACCATAAAATTATTAACTAATCAATGAATTTAATATTCAATTATTTAATTAAGTGAGTCAAATTTATGAATTTTTCAATTAAGTTTTAACCCTCGCTTTAATTTCAAGGAAATTTTGGAAGGGTGCATGGGAAAAATTACTAAAAATAAGCAGCACATTTAAATTAAAGGAATCATTATGAAAATAAATTACAAACATTAAATTATTAAATTCCAATCAAAATTTATTAATCTCTCTAATCAAACTTACAAATCAAATTTCAATTTTTATGCGACATAAACAATTTAAATTTCTATAAAAAACTTACAAGTTCATAAACATTTATACAGAATCTTTACCACATGAAATTTGTGAAATCCAATAATTTTAATTTTGTTCAAATAACATCAATTATATATGTGAAATATACTTTAAGAACTGCCCTCGGTAGGAATGGGATGGTTAGCATTTCTGAAATTTGCATTTTAAATATTTAAAAAAAATCCAAAAAAATTAAATTCTAAAAAAAATTTTCAAAGTCCTCACCCTCCCGTCAGTGATACATTTTCTCATCTGCGCAAAGTCTGCGCAGTCGCCCTTGAAGTCGGTCGGAATCTTCTTGCCGGCTGGGACTGTGTGTGGGTAAAAAATTAAGTAGTTAAACCCAAAAATAAAAAAATGAAATTAGTAAAATATAGGGGGCTTCCTCAGACACAGGAAAAAATCGTCGCTTTGAATTTCGCTTAGTTTTTCGCTTACTTCCTGATAAGCGAGCTCTGGGGTAAGCGACCAGAAACTCAACTCAAAAGTGGGGTTAAGGTCCGTTTGCTGAAGTCGGAGCAAAATTTTGAAATTTTCATAATTTCTGCCATGCTATCGATAAGCGAAAAACAAAGCGAAATTCGAAGCGACGAATTTTTCGTGTGTCTGAGGAGGCCCAGGGTAAAAAAAATGCCCCTCTCACATTTCTCCGTGCATTTCTCCGCTTCCGTCACCCACTTGGTGATGGTTGCCTTTGATTCGGCAGTGTCGTCAAAAAGGGCCTTTAAGTCCTTCTCCCTCTCCGACTCGTGCTCTTCTCCAGCTTTGTAAATGCCCTCCTCCGTCCCCACGCAGGCGACGAAACACTGGAAAAAAAGTATCAGATTTGCATATCAATAGCTTAAATTTTAGGAAACAAAGCTCAATTTCAAAATATTGCGGAGGATGTACAAACGTAAATACGTAGGAAAAAAGCTTACAAATTTCCAAAAATATTTCTATAAAAGTTATGTAGGCAACAGAACACTGGAAAATATGAACAAAAAGAGTCTTCATCTGGAATCATGTTATTTACACGACAAATGTATTTTAAGCTTGTTAAATATTTTATTATACATTTAAATACGAACGATGGCTGAAATTTGTATTAAAGTTTAGAGGGGAAAAAATAACGCAAAATTATCACGAAGGAAAAAATAATAATCCAAAATTTCCGGAAAACTTTGTATTTTTCTATATACTTATGCCTGAAAATCTATCAATATGTATAGAAAAAAATGAAATTTTTTAGCTCTAAAAAAGTTAGGTAGCACACCGCCAAAGTTTGACCATCGGCATGGGCATGAAATATGAAAAAGTTGAAAATAGATAGATACATATCCGCCCTCTGTAAATAAACCGTCGCAAACACACATAAGGAAGTAGCTTCAGCCTCACTTCACCCCAATTTCACTAAAAATCTCATTTTACCCCGACCACACCCCCTGGCGCCAAGGGGTGTGGTCCCCAAAAGTTGATAGGATCCTCCCCCTGGGATCCTATGTATGATGGTGAAAACCGATTTCGATTATCTCAATCCGTTCTCCCGTTATCCTGCTTACAGACAGACGGACAGACGGACAGACGGACGGACAAAGTCTTCGCATAAAGTAGCTGAAGCTACTTAATAAATAACTCTTCGTCGTGCCAATGTCAGGCCTATTGCTCGGGATTTTTTGCAATCGAATTAAAAAGTCACTGTGCTCACGGGATAGGCGGTGATGTCCTTGCCCGAGCAGGTTTTAAGGGCCGCTTCCGTGGACCCAGCAGGCTTCCCGACGTAGCCCTTGTGGCACTTGTACGCAGCATATTCACTGTGCCATTCCGCGTCGAGATTTGATTGGATAGAAACAACCTGGAAGAAATTTTTTTTTAAAATTAGAGAAAATTATGACTTATTTTACCGCATATCTGTTCACTTTCATTCATATGACTGATTACGATAGTGAATGAAAATGAATTTCCTGTGATTTGAATGAAAATGACTGAAAGATTCCGTCGTCTCAGATGAATGAAGGATTTCTCACTCATTTCATTTTTCACCCTGTGCTTAATACATGGGGCGAAGTAAGAAATGAAGTGAAATGAAATGAATTTGAACGAAAATGATTGAATGTGAATGAAAATCTTGAGTCAGAAATTGGAACTTTGAATTGAAAAAAGTTTTTTTTGAACAGGTATGTTTTAGAGACAATTTTTTGTTTGCGAAAAGTAGGTGTGCCTGGAGACTTACGAGACTGAGGGCGAAGGCGACTTTCAAAAGGGACGAAAACATCTTCTTGTTTAGATTTGGTCAAGAGTACGAGAAAGTCGAGGGGTGGAGTAGCAGTGTTGTAGAGGGGCCTATTCTGAAGAGTTTTATACTCTCGGCAAATAAGTACATATTTTAATGTTTAAATTGTTGTGAATGTTCACAGCCTCAAATTATTGTGACCAAGGTTAAATTTCGCTTTGGAACAATAGGCCTGACGTTGGTACGGCGAAGAGGTACTTATTTACAGGGGGCGGATATGTATCTATTTGCAATTTTTTGATTTCATCGCGGTTAAACTTTGGAGGTGTGTTAACTAACTTTTATAAAGCTCGAAAATTTAGTTTTTTTATACATATTTATAGATTTTCAGAAATAAATATTTAAAATTTTGGTCAGACATATACGTAAGCTTTTTAGATACTTTTTCAAGAATACATTTCATATTTCAAGGATATGATACGATACGATTTTTTTTCCTCCAAAAAATTTTACCGTACAAAATCAAGAACATAATATTCAGAAATTCAAATTTTGTACAAAATTGTTATTTTTATGGTTTTTCTCGAACTTATTTCGTATACAATTTTTGAAAATAAATATTGACAGCATATTTCAGCTATTTGTCTTAAATACATATCCATCCTCTGATTATTAAACTTGAAGGCCTGCTGACGTAATGTGTAATGTTTAACTGTTTCGAGTGCATTTTGACTGCATTTTGTGCAGTCAATTTATGATTAGGCTGGTTTATGTTTAGGGGCTGTGCAGAAAGGATGCCATAGATTTTGGGGGGGAGGATTGGGGGTCAAGGCATCCTACCCTTCCCTATAACTGTTCAAAAACAATTTTTTCATTCAAAAGTCAATCGTCCTAATTTCTGACTGAAGATTTTTATTCACATTTAGTCATTTTGGTTCAAATTCATTTCATTTCACTTCATCTGACTTCATTTCTTACTTCGCCCCATGTATTAAGCATAGGGTGAAAAATGAAATGAGTGAAAAATCCTTTCATTCTCAGCCATTCATCCGAAATGAGAGAATCCTTCAATCATCCAAATCACAGGAAATTAATTTTCATTCACTATCATAATCAGTCAAATGAATGAAAGTGAACACGTATGTCCTACCATGTTAACTATAACGTGGAGCATATAGGTCACTCCGGGAGGGTAGGGGTCAAAATTCCCCAAAAATCGGTCACACGTTTTATGTATGGCCCCCAACTTCAATTTAAAAGCAGAGTTTAGAATTTGCATTGTGTTTGTAATCAGTCGTTAAGAATTAGTTTACGTCATTCGTAAACATGCATTCCGATTCGCACCCTATGCCCACCGCAACCTTCATAAATGCAAAATTAAACAATGTAAAATGCTGCTCAACACTATAAAATTAAAACACTTTGTTCTTTTTGCGACAATTTTTTTTATCAAAATCGTCACATTTTTAATCATTTCTCATGCGCCTGTGAGAACTTATTTTAAAATTCTGAACGACAAATTTGTAGAGCAGGGAGTTCCCAATTTTTTAAAAAGGTACACTTCAGATTTTCCCCATTTTTGACGCATCATTCGTAAACATTTTCCATGCTACACTCACCGCAACCTTCATAAATGTAAAATTAAACAATGCAAAATGCAGCTCAACGTAAATATTTGTATACAATTTGAAAGCCTTTATTATTTTCGGGTATTTACAATTTTAACGTACATACATCGATGACTCATCGCGAAATCACCACCATTTAAATCATTTCTCATGCACATGTGGGAATTTATTTTAAAATTCTGGATGACAAATTTGGAGAGCACGTCTTTCCCAACTTAAAAAATGATTTATTTCCCAAGAATTTCAAAATGTCACAAATTTTTGCAAGGACAGAAATAATAGCTTTATTTGCACACAATTTCAAAATGTAACACATTTTTGAAAGTGCAGAAATAAAAGTTTTATTTGCGCAGAATTTCAAAATGTCACACATTTTTGGAAGGACAGAAATAAAGGCTTTATTTGCAAAGCATTTCAAAATGTAACAAATTTTTGAAAGTGCAGAAATAAAAACTTTATTTGCACAAAATTACAAAATGTCACAAATTTTTGCAAGCGCAGAAATATTATCTTTATTTACACAGAATTTCAAAATGTCACAAATTTTCGCTAGCGCAGAAAGTATGAATTATTCATACTTTTTCTACATAATTTCTCCTCACTAATTAATAATTGCGATGTCTGCACATCCTCGAAATGTTTCTTGAGGACCGCAACCGATCGCGTAGGTTCCATCTTCACACTCGCCCCATGAATTGCCTAGATAAAATTAGGATAAAATTACAAAAAAAATACTTTTCCATAGAGTGGGTTGATAACGTTGCGTGAATTAAGGTCCCATTGCATTCGGGTCTTGAATTTAAATTTTTGTCTCAACTTTCCCTTCATCCATGAATTCAGAGTTATATGGTGAAGAGGAACCGTCATGGTTTGCAAACCAGATTTTCAATCTGATCCAATGACGTTAAAGGATAAATTTTCCAAAAAATTTTTTTTTCAAATGGCGATTTTTTAACCGGTTGAGTGAGACTAAAAACTCTAACAATGCGATGGTTTGAAGTGTAACGCTCCGATTTGGTTGAAATTTTGAAATTATGTCAATACAACCAACGTTTCTTCAGGCAATTTGTGCGATGGTCAGAATTTGGCAAAATATTTGAGGTCAAAGTTGAAAAACGGGCGATTTTTAACACGGGGAGAGAATGGAAGTTGTTAGCTTCCTCCGCCTGGTAAAAATCGCCCGTTTTTCAACTTTGACCTCAAATATTTTGCCAAATTCTGACCATCGCACAAATTGCCTGAAGAAACGTTGGTTGTGTTGACATGGACCACATAATTTCAAAATTTCAACCAAATCGGAGGGTTACACTTCACACCATCGCATTGTAAGTAAGACGAAGATATGGGACCTTAAGTACCCACCTGCATAGTAATGCCACTGGAGGACGCAATGGAAACAAACCAGGTTGGTGGGCAGGCTCGCTTTGATATTGTACCAGCCCACGCCACTGGTCGGGATTGGGTACCGGGTTGGAATCGTGGGGCTTCCGTTGCTCAATTGGAGCAAATTTTGCTCGAAACAGGCCTCACTTTCGGATTGATCATTGTCCAAGTTGCAGACTCTGAATTCGAAATAACCCATGTGGCCGAACGTTAGTTCGACAAGGATGACGATTTCCTGGAAATTTTGTGACATATGGTGTAATAATTGAGGTTGAAGGGTGGGCTAGATTTGTGGGGGCAGGGAAGCGGGGGAAAGTTTCCGGGAATTTTCAAGAATTTTTAGGACATTTGGTTTCCGGAAATTTTGGACCATTTTTAAACTGTTAGAAATCTGGTATTAAAGTTGCTACAGCTTTGTAATACCGGTCCGTGCAAATTTTCTACCGATTTGGTAAAACTTTAGTACCGAGGTATTATTACAGGGTATTATATACATATCAATACCTCTATGGTAAAGTCACATATAAATTGTATTACCGCTTGGTATTATTTTAATACTGGATTTCTAACAGTATAGGTAACCTACTTGACCCCTGGTGTACGTCTTGGTGATGATCCCCTTCCCGTAAAACCCCCCGTGCTCGTTCTCCCGGGGTTTCGTCGAGTTAAAAGAGTCCCCACATTCGCCACATTTCCCGTCATTGTGTTCATACTGGATCTGCAAGAAGATTTTGCGAAGTTTGCTAAGATGTCAACCTCATCGTCAAAATCGGCACGTTTTTAGTCATTTTTCCGCTGTGGGAATTTATTTTGAAATTCGGAACGATTAGTTTGCAGAGCAGAGAGTTGCCAATTTTTTGAATATGTACACTCTAGATTTTGACACTTTTTGAAGGAGGATATCTCAAGTTTAGGAAGCCTTCAGAAAAATTAGAACTCGTCGAAACTTTAAAAAAAACTCACTTTAATTCCATTAATCAACTAATTGACAAATTATGTAGAACTCAATGACTTATCGCCAAAATCGTAAAAAAATTATTTTAAAATTCTGAACCTCAAATTTCTAAAGTTGATTAATGGAATGGCTTCGAGTTTTTTAATCCAGTTTCGATGAGTTCCAATGTTTCTGAAGGCTTCTTAAACTTGAGACCTCCTCCTTCAAAAAGTGTCAAAATCTGGAGTGTACATTTCTTTTAACAAAATTGGCAACTCCCAGCTCTAAAAATTTGTTGTTCAGAATTTAAAAATAAATTCCCAGATTAAAAATGTGCTGATTTTTTTTGCTGTACTAGATTTGTTATACATATTTTTTTAAAAATTAAAATAAAATTACGATAAATCCACCACAAAATAGTTCATTGTCGTTGTAATTGATTGGTGGGTGGAGTTCCTCGTACTCGACCCGTCTCCAAATTGACGACCTGTTCGGAGGCTCCATCATTCTCCCGTGGCCAGAAACAAGTCGGTCGCCGGAGTGAAAGGCCACGAGTAAAGTGACCACAACGAGGTAAAGTGAGAATGGATGGAAGTTACCCATTTTTTTGGGGGGAGGTGGGATATCTGAAATTTTATGAAATTTTGAAATCCGTGTTTCGGGCAAAAGTAAGTAACCAACTGCAAGAAATAACGGAAAGAAAGCGGTTTCTTGCAGGGGAATATTTTGATCTGCAAGAAATACAATTTTCTTCTTACAATATTTCTTGCACTTTCTCCCAGTTTCTTGCACTTTCTTGGTTTAAAGTGCAAGAAATGTAACAACCTCGCAAGAAATGGTTTCTTGCAGCTAAATATTTTGACCTGCAAGAAATGCAAGGCGCAAAAAACTACGCCCCGCCGTGATAAATATTTCATACGGCGCGTGGCTAGATGGCGCATATTTCTTGCAGGTCAAATTATTTACCTGCAAGAAATCACTTTCTCCCAGTTTCTTGCACCTCACATTTCTTGCATTTTTTGGATTGAAGTACAAGAAATGTAACAAATTCGCAAGAAACTGCAAGAAAGTGATTTCTTGCAGGTAAATAATTTGACCTGGAAGAAATGCACGGCGTAAGAAACTAATTTCCGCCGATATTCCTTCATACTTCGCGTGGCTAGATGGCGCTTATTTCTTGCAGTTTCTTGCACCATGCATTTCTTACTTTGCACTGCAAAAAATATACCTGCAAAAAACGAAACACTGTTTAAACCACGGAAATATTGATAATTCGATAGAATTGGTGTAATTGAAGTGATGATGGTTTTCCTATTGCTTAATAATTATTAATGGATTTGGCAAACTTGACACGAGCAGGAGATTACATAATTGATCAATCGTGTTATGAAGAACTTGCGTTAATGATGACAAATTCTGATTGATTACGGTGTCGAAACGTCAATGAGAAATAAATTCGTTACCTACCGAGTCATCGTATCAAGTGCATGGTAAGTGTGTTTAAGTGCTTATCAACGATCAATTAATACTTGTCAGGAATAAGAGGATTCAAAAACGTTGGGGTTAAAGGGTTACATCAGCTTTTTGAAAGGGAAATCCCGGATAGATTAGTCAATAATTCGTCCGCTGCTTTATGTAATCGTTTTGTCCGTCCGTTTCAGGATTAATTTGTGCGAAAATTCACATAAAAATTTGCATGAAATACAATAAAATGCAGCGTTATGTCTGCATCATTTTCCATGTTCACTAGGCTGATTATCTATGTTTCACGATCAATTCGTGCAAAAATATATGCAAATAATAGCGAAATCTGCATGAAGTAAAATGTAGCGTTGTGTTTCATAATTTTCCACTCAGGATTAATTCGTGCAAAAATAAAACCTATTTCTGTTTTTTATGTTACGTTATATCTAACCGATCTAATCTAATTAACAAATTTTTCGCAATATTTGATTCGCCGTTGAACTCTCAAATTCACAAATAATTCTTAATTGCAGCAATTTTTATTAATCATTTTTCCCAATTACACAAATATTATGGAAGAAAATTTGTAAATACTATAATTACATATTTGTGTAATAAAATGCTCCCTTAAATTGACCCGTGTGTTAAACTGTTATAATTTTAGTTTTTTAGTTTCTTAAAGAATTGCGACGTCCGCGCAGCCTCGGAAAGTTTCTTGTTCGCCGCAACCAATCTGTTCCGTCCCGTTGGGACAAAGACCCCATGAGTTTCCTAAAAAAATGGAAGATTGAATTTCAAAATTTCCTAAAAATGGATTTTTAAATTTCTATGCAAAAAGGGTAAAAGGACTGGGTTTTTTGAAAAATCTACAAAAATCGTCAACTTTATTTCAAAAATTTTTCTCAACAAATTGCCAATTGGTTTCAAAGTTTATCTACAAAAATTGTCACTTGATTTCAAAATTTGTCTAGCAAAATGAGAAAACGAAAGAAACATTTCAAAATTTCCTGAAAACTAACTTCTAAATTTCTCTATACCTGGTATAAAAAAATTCTACGAAAATTCTCAACTTGATTAAAAAAAATTTTCTATCAAGATGATCACTAGATTTCAATTTTTTCTCAAAAAAAGTCGCCAATTGACTTCAAAATTTTTCTACAGCTATTTTCATTTAATTTTTGGCAAAAATTGTAACTCGGTTTCAAATTTTTTATCCAAAAATTGTCACTCGATTTCTAAGCTTTCAAAAAAAAAGTTGTAACCAGATTTCCAAATTTCCCCACAAAATTATGACTTGATTAGCTCACCGGTCAAATAGTGCCACTGGACGACGCAGTGGTCACACTTGATCTCCTGGGGCAGCTTGGCTTGGAGAAAGTATTCCTGCATTTCTTCATCCGTGACGGGATATTTCGTCAAACCGTTGGCAAATTGGAGGATATTTTGCTCAAAACAAGCCTCCTCCTCCAACTCGGTGGACGAAGAGAGTGGACACAGACGAATTTCGAAATGGCCAAGATGCACGGCGGTGAGTTGAACGTGAATATCGATCCACTAATTAAAATTCAAAAAAACTAAGGTTTACAAATTTAAGATTAAGGTTCTCTTGTATGCGGGGTCTGGATTTGAATTTTCATGTCTCAGCTTTCCCTTCGGGTATGGATTCAAATGGCGATTTTGAAACGTGTTCCAAGCCGTGGGTTTTTTATAAAATGAAGATTTTATGGCATCTAAAAATGGAGGATTTTTAGGTTTACAAAGTTAGGAGGGTGGAATTTTGATTTTTTCTTCCATGAGAAGATATTTAATTTTTGCTTACTATTTTTTATCAATTTTATTTTATTTTCACATGGAAGATAAAAATCAAAATTTTAACCTTGTAACTTTTTCAAACCTAAAAATGATCGGTTTTTGGTAGCAATAAAATCTACATTTTGTAATAGATAAGCCCACGGCGATGAACACGTTTCAAAATCGCCATTTGAATACGTCGAAGAAGGGAAAGTTGAGACAAAAAAAAATTAAATTCAAACCCCGCATACAGAAGAGCCTTAATGAATATGGTATTCTTAATTAGAAAATTTGTAATTATTCTTTATTTAATGGGGACCTGTCCAGCCGTGTAATTTCGGACGATGATCCCCCTCCCGAAGAGTCCCCCATTTTCATTATCCCGTGGTCTAGTTTGATTCCAGGAATCGCCACACTCGCCACATTTTCCTGCGTTGTGTTCATGTTGGACCTGAGGTGAGGGGCAGAATTTTCACGTATTTTTAGTGCATTTAAGTACAATTTATTGAATCATTATGCGGCGTTTATTGTGGTCGTTTGTCCGTCCGTCCGTCCGTCCGTCTGTCTGTCCATTTTGGGCAAAATATCTCCACAATTGTTAGTCCTCACTCGAGCTCAAAAAATGGGGCCAATCGCACCAGATCGAGGGGGTTCGGTCCAAAATTAAGTTTAACCTTAATTTTCATATGGAATGTCATTTTAAAGGAAACTTCACGAACTAAATTTTCCAAAATTTAAAAGAGATCCGTAAATTCCATAAAATATCCGGAAATTTATTTGCTAAAAAGTCATAAAAAAGAAGTCGCAGAAAGCTTTCCCATTTCCTTTCAATTTGGAAAATTTTTGACAGCGTTGGAAAATTTTAGACAGTTTTCAGTCCATAAAGGTTTTAGACGCCTAAAACGACCAAAGTCATGCACGCGCATGCATGCAAAAATATCGACAACTTTCTTACCACAACACCGCCACAGAATAAATTTGTCCATAAATTTAATGCGACCGATGACCGGAGTTACCAAATACTCAACAATCAAAGAATACTTCTTGAAATTTGTAACTAGAGTGACGGATTATACGATTGATCTCATTTTAGCGAAGCAATGATCTGATGATGCGCGATAATATGGAGGCTCGACAAAATATGAAAATCTCCGAAAGCTATTAAACCCATTTCTACGTTGTAATTAGTATAGTTTTCTTGGCATTGATAATAAAATATGGCAGTATTTGCGTAATTTTCTTAATTAATTAATGCCAAGTGGGTTTTTCATCGCTCTGGTTCCTACCAAACTAAGACCTGATTAAGTATATGTATACTTAATAGCATATGTATACTTAATAATTGAATTTGCGCTTGATAATAATGTACATTATTACCAAGCGCAAATTCCGGCGCTAGAGTTTTTGGGGACCCTACCAAATTAACTTATAATTTTAAGTTTAAATTTTATTGCACCTCATTGCAATGAGATGCAATACCGTAATAGTTCACAGAATCCCGAAAGATTAGCCGTGGTCGTGTCGTGGATAATTCATATTATGTAAACATACAAAATTCTAATAATTTCTTCCATTGTTTACGGGTGGTAAATGGTTATTTGCTCAAGCTAAAAACTGACCAACTTCCGCGCGAAAGTAGTTTTGCGTATTTATGTAATTTTTTTGTGAAACTGGAGTTGTCATAGGCCAATAAAAAAATTGGTTCGAAAAAGTTAGTCTAAAAATGCTGAAGAAATTGACCCCCGAAGTCGACCATCTCATTAAGCACTTTTCCAAAGGAAGATTGTCACACACAAATTGTTGAAAAGTTGAAATTATCCGGATATAGTGTTTCTCAAAGAACAGTGCCCAATGTACTTAATTGGAATTAGAACAAAATCTTAATTAGCAAGACTCCCCTCGAAAAAAGAGTTCCAGTCCCCAAAAAAGGTGTCTCGTACCGTTTTTCGAAGACTTGACGCCCTGGGAAGTGGGGACAATCCTGGTTCCAAACTAAAAAGTAGGGAACTTGTCAAAATCTCGCAGAAATATGAAAATAACATCATTATGAACAAGCTTCACATAATGGTCCGGAAAATCACAGAAATTCATGTGAAAACAAACTTAACGCTCAAAATTTCCCGGAAAACGACCCCGTATGCAGCGTGCTAAAAAAATGAGTTGGTAATTTCGATCATTTCGAATACCCAGATACATGTCAGAAGTCAATATATCCATCTCAATGGTTTATAAGGGGTTGGGACTAGCAAAAACCAAGGTTTACAAATCTACGAGGTACAAATTTTGGTGGGTTTTGGAAACTTTTTTAAAACGAGTATAATCTATTCACCTATAAAAATATGCAAAAAATGAATCTGCGGAAACGGCGATGTAGGCAAGTTAGCTAGAGGTCTGGGGAACACGTTGAACAAACGAAAAAAATTCATCGACGTCGACTTCATTTTTAAGGTCAGTTTTTAGTTTGAGCAAATAAGCGTAAGCAACCCTCGGTATTACTAAAAAATCTGACTACGAGCAATAACAAAACTCGGGATTGATAAAAGCATTGTTTGAAATTACTCAGGTAATCATATCGAACTTAAATTATTACAACTGCTTTTTAAACCAAGTTGTATTTAGTCATTTAATTAGGATGCAGCAGAAATTTGTAATAAACTAAATTGTTAATAGGCAAGTCAATTAGTAAATATATAGAGTAGCTAACAAAGTAATAACTATCAAGGAATTTAGGACAAAGTAATGTCAAGTTGAAGGTCAATAAGGATGAATAATGATAAAAAAATTTATATGCGGAGAATACATAAGTTGAAATAGCGTTGATTTTCCGTGAACCGTTGGACGTTAGTGGAAGAATGAGGTTGTAACCATGTTGTGTAGGGTTTTAATAACGAGTGGGATATATGGAGGTTAAGAAGCAATGGCAAAATGTGGGGCTCTATGGTCTAAAGGTATGACGCTTCGGATCTATCGAAGAAGTACAGGTTTCGAGTCCTGTTGGGTCCCCTATTTTTGCCAATTCGCCTATTATCCTCCAGAGAAGTTCTCAATACACTCACCTCCGAATTCCAAAGTCAATATTATCAGTTTACATATTCTATTTATCAATCATTCAAACTAACTACCATTCACTACCTCTCAATAATGTATCCCACAGTTGTGACCAGT